ATATCTTTTGTCATGAAGATCAAAGAAAAAGATTTGCACAATATTATGAAGATCTCAGTGTCCCAAAAGAAGAAATATATGACAATTCCTATCTTAATCTATGCAAAATTCGACAAAGCTATGTACAAGAGGCTTTAGAAGAGTACGAAGACAATCCTGAACTCTTTACAGACACGGACATAGAGAAAGCAATAGATTGCCTCAACACCAAAAAAAGTCCGGATGAATTTGGACTTACAGCTGAGCATCTTAAATATGCTAAGAGTACTATAGCACCAGCAATGAAGGCAATTTTTAACAACATTCTAATATACAGAAAGGTACCAATATTTTTCAAGTCTGGTATACTTACACCAGTACTAAAGAAAGAAAAAGACCCAACAGAGACGAGTAACTATAGAGGCATAACAGTAACACCAATAACTGGGAAAACCTTTGAATACTCATTTCTAAACAAACTGATGATAGAACCAAAAACAGACCTCCAATTTGGATTCACCAAAGGTTTATCGCCAATCATGGCAAGCTTAATCATTTCAGAAGCTAGATATGAGAAAAAAAGGGGAATGACAATTTCTATATAAACATTCTAGATGTAAAATCAGCATTTGATGTAGTCCAACACACTATACTGATGGATAAAATGCTTAATCAAGAAATCCATCCAATATATTGGAAAATACTAACAGACCTATATACTGACTTGACTACAAAAGTTAAATGGCTTGATGGCATAAGTAATCCTTTCCAAATTAAACAAGGTGTAAGACAGGGAGGAATTCTATCAACCCATCTATACAAAATCTTTGTCCAAGATCTTCTGGTAGAATTGGAACAAAATTCAATAGGATACCAGTTAGGAAATATATACGTAGGATCACCAACTTGCGCCGACGATATAGCCTTTATATCGAATGACAAGCATGAACTACAACTAATGCTAAATGTGCTCGGTAGATATGCAAACGAACACCACTACAGTATACATCCAACAAAAACCCAAATCATAGATTGTTCCAAAACAAAAAGTGATTACAACTGGAAACTAGATGGAAATGATGTAACAATAGCTAAATCAGGTGTACACCTAGGACTAACGAGAGCTGAAAGCAACGAAAGTCACATAAATGTACAAGAGAGAATAAAATTAGCAAGAAGAACTAAATACGCCCTAATGGGATCAGGCTGTCATGGTACAAACGGTCTAGACCCACCAACCTCATATCAAATTTACAAAACCTATGTCATTCCAAGGTTAATTTATGGACTAGAAGTGCTACCTCTAACAAGATCTGATATCGAACAGTTGGAAAAATTTCATAGAAAAAATCTTCGCCAGTTACAATCTCTTCCAGAAAGAACCGCTAATTCGGCAGTGTTACTACTGTTAGGAGCTCTACCAATAGAAGCAGAAATTCATAAAAGAGCTTTGTCTCTCCTACATGCTCTACTAACATGCGAAAATGAAAAAAATACATCAGCTTATGGAAAGACAAATAACAACAAATTTTGATAACAAAAGTAGCTTCTTTTCAAGAGTTATGGATATATTAGATATGTATGAACTTCCAACCATTATACAACTTCAAAGCAATGTTCCAAAGAAAGAACATTGGAAAAGAACCATCAAGCTGACAATAGACAAATTTTGGAAGGACAAGACCTTAACAGAATCTGAAAGAAAATCTAGCTTAAAGTTTATGAATACGGAAAACTTCGAGATCAATAAACATCATAAAGTCTGGAAAGTAAAGCATTTGCCTCGTTTTGAACTTAGAAAAGCAATAATCAAGACTAGAATGATAACTGGAACATACATACTTCAGGCAGACAAACATAAATTCACTCCCTATACAGTAGAACCACTATGCCAATTATGTAAAACTGACAATGAAGACATAACTCATTTCCTGACAACCTGTCCCATACTTAGTACTACGAGAGAAAAATATTTCCTTGATATAAGAAAAGAGATCACAGATAAAATCACACCAGCAAAATGGAACTGCACCTTCATGAACAAAACTGCGATAGTACAACTGCTAATAGACTGTTCAAAATATAAGGAGCTATTTGATAACTGTGAAAAATTCATGGAAAATATTGAAAGCAAAACCAGAAATATGTTATTCCAAATGCATATAGAAAGATTGAAAATTATGGACAACAAATAGCAAGACACATATTGCATATATATATATACGTATATAAATATACATATATCTTTAAGTGGAGGAAATGACAATCAAATGAGAATAATGATTATCATAAGTGACATATATATACCAACACAGAGTCTGTCATTTAATAATTGTAAGAAATTTAAATAATTAATAAGCATTCCTATCTTTTAACTCACTAATACATTTATGATAGGGTCCATATCATGTATATATCCTTTTAAATTTACTGATGGTGACAAAACAAGCTTCTATTACTTTATTATGATTTTTATATACATTGATCATGAAGTACATATAACATTCCACTGAGAAAACCTGCCTTTTTAGATTTTACTAAATTCTTACATCTTAACTTATTATTCTAATACATAGATCTTATTAAATGAAACCTCCTTTTAATGTATCTTTTATGCATATTAAAAAGCAAATTCAAATGAAACATATTTTTAATTATAAATAAAACTGAGATACATACATACATGTAAGTGAATCTACTTGTATGGTAGATTAATTTATAACAAAAAGGTCCATGTAAATATGCCTTGCATGACACTTTTACTGTTTATTTATATGTGCTGTACATATGTTGGAAAAAGAACATTTTTGTTTTATCCTTTTAAATTTTAAAGTTAAGGTAAAACTCCATATATATTTGGAGGTGCTCCTAATTAAAGGAGGCTGATACTAAGAAGAAGAAGACAAGGGAGGTGTTGATATAAAACTTTTTTTTATAAAAGGAATATATGTTTTAGTGAAACGGTTATGCGAAACTGGGTGGACAGCAAGAGTAGACACCGTTTCGTCACTTTTGGCAAACTATTTAACGTCATATTCTGCTTTGACTAAAATTGAAAATTTAAGCACAAATGAATCAAGAACAAATACTAGTTGCCATCGAAGCTACTTTGAAGATCAGGAATGTATAGTTGCAGTAGTAGTAGCCCATGTTGTCTTGAGCATTCTCAAGCCACTAACATTTGTTTTTCAAAAGTCGAACTGCAATATGGTTGAGGAATCAAATATTCCTTTGGAATTGTTGATGGAAAAGAGAACAGATGAACAGTTTTCAGAGCTTTATAGACGTAGTGCGACTAATGCGAATGCCATTGCAAGAGACCTTATGCCACGTAGGCGAGTTAATCGACAAGTCCGTAGAGAAAATGCAGCCACGGCCTCTAATGCAGAGCAGCACTGGAGAGTGCCTTTCCTTTTTTCGTATTTGGATCACGCCATTAGTTAAAAGTTGTGCTGGTTTCCTGATGAAGTAAAAAATCAAATGTATGGATTTACCTCATACCAAAGCATGTTAGCAAGCTTACACCGGATATTATTGGACCTCTGTATCAAGCATTCCAAGACGAGAAAATTTGAAAGGATTAAATGATGAAATTAAAATGTGGTTAAAAAACAATACCAATGCGAGATGAAGGAAGCCTTCATGTACCAATTATGCTGGCTGACAAAGACTTATATCCTAATATTTTTGTTATAATACAACTCCTCCGTACTCTGCGGGTCACATCGGTTTGTTGCGAGTGATATTTTGATGCATCTAAAAACCTTGGAACGAGCCAAAATGGGCGGCGATAAACTTTATGGCTTGCCATGCTCCATGTCCATAGAAATAACTTTAAAGTTGAAAGGGAACGTATGCTAATGAAATTCGATAGTTCTGGTCGCCAAAGAATCGGGAAGTTTTATATTATTAGATACTTATAAATAAAGATTAACTTCAAGATTGACATAGTTTTGTTGAAGCTATTTGTTGTAACTACTAGTGAGTGATAACACAGAGTTTCAGTTATTTTTTGTTGACCATTCCCTTAGTTTCCTGGAATTAAAACGCAAGTTTGAAGTCTATTACTTTTCCTTTGACCCTGGACAATATTTCACGGACCTAGTACTCTTCTCGAAGAAATTTTCAACAATACTTGATCACTCGTAATACTAAGACTAATAGAACAACAGCCATTTTGCTAGCTGCTACTTGATTTGCTTTTTTTTTACTATTTTTAATAGTTGAATGAAGAACCTTTAAAATTACTTTTTTCGTCAAATGCAAACAAAACAAACAAAAAACATATATCAGTACATACCTTTCTGCAAATTCTTTGTCGGATACTTATACAATTGATGGGTATCCCTTACATGTATAAATTTGATACTACTATGTCGATGTACTTAACCAATACAAACATATGTATTTTAATTTAATGATGCAATGGTGTTGAAGAAATAATATGTTGGAAATAGACATATCTTCATTTAAACTCCATAAAACAGCTGTTTTGTTGACATTTGATGACACATGCAATGAGTTTTGAAGTTTTTAAAATTTGCATCCTGCAGAGAAAAATCCGGCATTAGAAAATAAAATGTAAATTTGTATAATCAATGTCAAATTGAATTCTTTGATTGATGTCAGCTTAGGAATAAACGACACATGTTTATTCAAATAGACCTTATACACATCTCCAAATTAAAAAAATCTATTAAACAGACATTATTTACTGAAGTGAAGCGTTATTTTAGTACAAAATGTATATATCTTCAAGTTGATACGAAATTCCGGGGCTTGCGTTTCCTATCATGATTACTTTGATAGAGGGTTGCGGCTGGGATAATTAACATAAATTGACAGTATCTTTATTTTTTGCCAAAATAGTTTATATCGTGCTTTAAAAACAAATATGTTAAAAACAGAAAAGTACCATACTGGTTTTCATGTTACAAGATATGTAAAATGTTCATGTTTTGTAAGGATTACACACGAAACTAATATAATTTTGTTACAAAATTTAATTAGGTATACTAGTTAGTTTTATAATGATTTCAAAAAGAAAAAAGAAATCTATTTCCTGGTACATAAATAAATGCACAATTAAATCATCTTAGTTATCTCCCCTTCGAAACATTTTTCTTCAAATAATTGAGTCAATACGGTAAATTTCTATCTTGTGTAGAAAGACGTTACATCAATTATAAAATTATAAAGTCATCTAATTTTCGTCGTTTAAAGAAAAGTCCCCCATGTTTGTTGCATTCCTATCAGAAACTTTAATTTTCTCCCTCAAAGGAGCATTTGTCAAAACAACTTTACAATCGAATATGATAATATGATTTTTTTTTAAATCCGTTGGTGAGATAACATGCCAATGAAATATTCTTTAAAACAAAACGTTTATCACAAATTACTAGTAAACACATCTTAGACTTTCAATAATTAGCATTGGCTTATGCATCATTTCAACATGATAGTATAGTATACGTACGTCATTGTTCCAAACAAGTTCTTTGCAAGTTTTTCTATCGGTTGCTGAATGGTCAATTAGTTTATTAGTAATAAATGCTTTTCAATTGTAAAAGAAAGGACACCACCGAAGTGCTTTCTAGTCATCAAATAAAATTGTCGAAAGAAGAACATTAGTACATCTACGATCCACCAAAATCTCGAAGTTGAGTAGAAAATATAATATTAGTGTTGAGAAGTCAGCAAGAAGTTGTTAAAAACAAAACCAAACATAAATGCTAATATCAGACCCATTTGCATGATCTGATCAAATATGTATTCTGTTTTTCAGTTGGTTCATTAGAGGAGAGTATTGAATATTGGTTAATGATCAGAGAAGAGTATTGCATGCATATTAATTTGATTCGAGCGTCACTGATGAGTCTTGTGTAGACGAAACGCTCTTCTGGCGTACCAAATTATAAGCCTGTCATCAATACAAGAAATAGTTGAACGGTGTAAAAAGTACAAAACTGCTTTTCTTTTTATACGTCCTACAAAGCCACAGCTGACTCTCTACGAGTTTTACTCCAAGACGGGAGAAATTGATTGCGGCTATCGCTGAACTTATATTGATATATTTCATAAGGCTTGTTCATCCTTCAACACTACATCTGCTAGCAATTTTTAAAAAACATTATCTTTATTTACAATTATTTACAATGTACATTAATGAGTATATTTCGTTGTTATAATCATAAATGATCACAAATATAAAGTATCATGCTTATCACATTGACAATATTCATACATAAAAAGTAGCATATAATTTTTAGTGATCTTTCCACATTATTCTGTTGGTGGAGGTAATTTTGATATGTGCTGATATTTTTTTTTAAGTTACACATCAACATATTTTCAGTTTATAACTCTTCAAGTGTATTTGACTATGCTTAAGACACATTGTTTCAAGAGTTTACCATATATGTACCGTTCTTTTCGTTTTCAGTCACTTCGTTTTCACTAAAACTATAATTAGGGCTATCAAAATCCGGTTGTTCTGAGAAGTGCTCCTTGTCATAACCATTCATTTCACCAGGACTTTGTTTAAGTGTTCTTGATTCTATACGCCTGAAATGATTATACAAAAGTCATGTTAATATAACTACATGTTACCTTTCAGCAATTACACTTATCTTATTATCTATAAATGTCTTGATTGATTGCTAATTTGTTTGCATTCTTCTGGACAAGACAAAACAAGCTAATAGGTAGACTTGATGCAAAGTAGGTAAATCTGGGGGACAAGCATTTATACTGCCTCTGGAAAAGTGGATACGTTGTATAGGTGCGGACATTTTGCTTTGTAAAAAGCCCCCTTCGGACCCCCGAAAGATCTGTAACAGTTGAAAGATTTGTTTAACTTAGAAAGTGGCAATTTTCTTACACAATGCATCATATATAACGTCCGCACAGGTATTGTCTGTGTTCTATACATCCCGGACAGTAATGGCTTTACTGCTACAAAGGAGAAATCTAGTAATAACCACATTTTTATTCCACAGATTATTGAAACATCTACTTATCCATGTCATATATTGATCAGTTAAAATTTATGTCTTATTACATTTGTCAAAAATATATATTTGATATAAAAAATAAGGAGATGTATTATGATTGCAAAGGAGACAACTATCCAACCAAGTTCAAATGAAGTGGATGAACGCAATTATAGGCAACCGTAAGGCCTTCAAGATAGGGAAATACCCATACCGTATAGTCGGCTATGAAAGGCCCCGACATAAAAAATATGAAACAATTCAATTTAATTTATAACAAACAATTTACGAAAAACAAATATGACAGATATCAACCAACGACAACCACTGAACTACAAGCTCCTGACTTGGGACAGGCACATTTAGAATGTGGAGGGGTTAAACATGCTTGAAGGCGCCAAACCTCCTCCCGTGCGACAGTACAACATGATGATAAACTATCAAAATCAATTGAATAGGTTTATCTCATCAGATCGATACAAAGCGGGAAAACATCTAACAAAAACAAAGACTGGACGTGGCAGTGTATTTATACATCACCTCGCAATAAAAAAGACACAAAGTACAGATCTGAGAGTAATCGCAGTTACCGACAGATAGTTCAAAGCCAATAACAACTAAAAAGAAAATCATTTATATAAGACTAAAATATCAATCAGTTCACATCGAACATCTAATGGATTCAGTGTAAAGACGTCATTAACATGCCTGTACTGTGCTATATTTAAATAAAGCGTTCACATTGGGCTTAAATCGATCTAAAGTGAACCGATCTAGTTTAAATCGATCTAAATGTCCAAGTGTGAACGGGATCTAGCATATCAATAAGTACACATCCAACATCCAATGGATTTAGTGTAAAGACGTCATTAACAGTCAGAGAAAAACATGACCTTGTGCAAATGACCTTGCGCAATGACAAAATATAGGTATCGACAGATTGAGTACGTCAATGTTCATAATATACTGAGCTTGTTATCACCAGAGATATGTTACTGCACTTTGCAAGAGCCAAATTGATAAAATGAATTTACTGATTTATTCAAAACTGTTGTTTTAATTCTACATGGTCGTCATCGAGGTCGTCGTATATTTTATTTTACCTTAATCTCCTGTACAATATGATGAGGGATAGTAAAACAATTATTAACAGCAGTGCCACAGCTACACCTATGATGACGTAGATCCACGTTTTCTGAAAATAGAAAGAAAATGCAATGCAACTCTACAAACATAAACACTAAGATTCGAATCTTAGGCCTACGCAAGTGATAAAAGATTTTGCATCGTTTGTCAGTGTTGTTTTTAAGCTTTCGAAGTTCTTTTTTCGTCATTATTGGAATAAACTGGTATGTGAAAGCATAAGCACGTATATAAAAACTAATGTGTTAAACAAAGTCATGCATAGTACCGAAACTTCTGCTTCGTTTACTTATTGCAGAGGGTGGTAAAGGGTTATTTTCGTGCAACGTGATCGCCGTTTTTTATTTCACGTTCAACGTGTTTTTACTTTTTTATTTGACGTTCAGTCGTGCAAGACAGGTGCCTCGTTCAACGTGTTCTGCTTATTTAATTTTACGTGCATCGTGATTTTCAAATGCTTATTTTGCGTGCTCGGTATTTTTCAAATAAAATTCAAACACTTGGCAGGGATCGTCAAGAAATACTTTTTTAAAAGCCGTAAACCATTTATATCATAAATGTGTATACTAAATCGGGAATAACAAGTAAAACAGAGAGTTTATATATACAAGAATACAGTGACTCAGTCACAAAAGGTTCACATCAAAGTCTTTATTTTTCGTGCAACGTTCATGACAGAAATTATTTCACGTTCAACGTGAAATTATGTCTTATTTCACGTTTTTTCCGTGCAAGCACCCACCTTTACCACCCTCATTGCAGTCTTGGACAAATTCTTAATTTGAATGTATATATATTATGGCATCAGACCAGGAAAAACGTGTTTGTAAGTTGAATTTTTCGAAACACTACGGGTTTTCCACCCCAAACATAGATAGCATTAGCCATATTTTGCACATTTTGTCGAAATGTTTTGTTTTTTATGTTCTTCAACTTCGTTCTTGATTTTGCCTTACAACTGCTTTGGTTCGAGCGCCATTGATGAGATTTATATAAACGAGACTTGCATCTGGCGAACCAAATTATAAACCTGGTATCTTTGATGAGTTTTTACATACAAAATATTTCTATTTTGCTTCTTTTTTTTACCTTGAATACATTTGAATGTCATCGTATGCCCATGTCCCAATTAACAATAGTGTATGGTTTTAAACAAGATGATAACATTGTAATTCATTAAATAGTGAAGCCTAGTTAAATTAAATACTAGTTAAACAATTTTAGAATATTGTAAACTAAGTCTTGGTTATCATACTTATATCTTTGTATATTTAATGAGTTTGTCTAACTATATTAAACCTACCGATTCTTTTTCTTCATTGGCAGAAGGTTTCTGGACAAGTTGTTTCTCAACCACTTTCAAACCCGGTACTTGTTGTTGTAATTTTAATTGCATGCTTTGATAAGAAGGTTGGTCCAAGTCATCCTCATCCACATACCCTCCTCCTTGTAATCTTGGTGATATGTAATACTCGATCTTGGCTGCAGGTTTACTTTTATGAAAAAAATAGAACAATTATTTTCTTTCATAGAACCATTTGATTCTTTTATTCTTTCATTCCAAAATATCCATATGAAAAGAAACGTTTCCTGTATAGGTGACATTGAAAAGACGATACCAGTCGTAGGAAAAAAAAACTTGTATTAATAAAGAATAATTTGAAATGAGGACAAACTTTTGAAAGCAAAGGTTTTTTTAAAGTTTGTAATGACAAAGCTTTTTAAAAAGAAAAAAGACATAAAAATAAGGTGAAGTGGTATGATTGTCTATGAGACAACTATCTACCAATGTTCAAATTAAGTGGATGTAAGCAATTATAGGGAACCGTACAGCTTTCAACAATGAGAAAAACCCATACCGTATTGTCGGCTATAACAGGTCCCGACATGAATAATATGAAACTATTCAACTGAAAAAACTTCGTTTGAAAGTATGCTCCATTATTGAACGTTTGGTGTGGCCTTTTATTGTTGATTGATGTTGGGGTTTCAATGGCAAATATAAGATGTATTCCCCTCGCCGGCATATGTTTGGATGTTTACTGTCTCTTAAAATCTTAGATTTATTTAGGCTGAGACTTTGAATTATTTGATCTGTTGACTGTTTGTAACAATTTTACACATTTAAGAGCATTCACAAATTTTGTAAATGTAGGATCTTAAACTTCTAGTTTTTCAAGAAACGTGTGATGATTACTTCCCGTTGTGGTGCAAGTTATTTTGAAAAAGCTTTAAGTTGTTATCGATTTTTTGCTGTTGTGTTGGTCTTGCATTTTTATCATTGTATTGATAATTTTTTCCTTGGTGATTTTCTTTTTTTTATATTATCTTGAAAAATTTGGTTTTGATGTCTTCGACCTTTGTATTTACAAAATACCTACCCGTCATTTGTCTGAAATCCTTTATGGACATTCATAACTTTGGTGTTTATGTTGACCCCAAGACCTAGAAACAGTAAAACAAAAAGTTCCATTGTAAAAGAATAGAAATGGCAATATTTAGATAAAGGCTTCGGATGGAATATGTGCATATCAAATATTTTCCTGAACTTAGTTTAACTATAAAATAGATCCATCTGATCGAAAATGTATTTACTTTAAAATCATCAAAGTGGTTACAAGCTTTTACAAATGATAAGTTCAATCAGAATGCCATCTAGAACATTTTAAGCAATTACAGGGCGTTGCAATCAATTTTCCTCGTGTATAACAACCAGCTACATGTAATTTCAAATTAGATTAACCTGAAAAGTAAAATCACAAAAATACTGAACTCCGAGTTACATGTATCTGTGGATATTTTAATTTCAACGACTGACATTGTTTTAAACGGCCTTAAAAAGCATTAAAATAAAATTTACCAAATGCAAGGCTATTGATAAAAATATGTATGTTTTGGTTAATTTTTTTTTAAATGTAATCTTACAAATATCATGATGTTTTTATCATTACCTCTGTTTTCGGACGTCCATATAAGTTTTAAAATGTTTTGAATTTTGGTTTTATCAATCATGTCGATCTGTCCTGTAACCCTGATCTCTCGAAGTTTTCTAGCAATACAATCACAAGTAGAAATTCCTTTTGGAAGGTTATGCTTAGTAACATTTTGATTTGGTTCCTGTAATGCTGTGTTGGAAGAATCTGCATTCAAAACGGAAATAACATACTTCACTTTCGTCACTCTATGTCTGAAATTTTTTTTTAAAAAATACATTATAGAGTCTTAGATGCGAGAGTTGGCTAGAAATGACGATAAATACTGAAAAAGAGAGAGAAGCTACAAAATTGTCAATAAAAAATCATAGGTTCAAAGGCAGACATATTTCAACAATGTCTTCGAAGTTACATTTGCTTAGAAAGAGAATAAAAACACTAAAGATGCTATATCATCTGAGAAAGTTGAATATCTATGTTACAATTGAGTCTTTGTTTAAACTTACCCAGAATTCTCAGAAAAGTAATTTTTGTCCAACGGTTTAACTGTTAATCCCAAATCGCTGTTTTGTATCTCTACAAATTTAATTTAATTAACAAATGTCAGTAAACTCATTGGACGAACAAATAATTTTTTTTTCTTAATGAAACATGACTTTAACTTTTTTTATAGTTTGCTATAGGATAGAACGTTTTTTCAATGTGTAGATGTGTTCTTGGATGAAATCTCACAAAATTAATATTATAAAGTCCGTAGGAATGAAGCTTTGATATTTCATTCTCATACCTTTCGTTGATGTTCGTGTATGCATGCTAGAATTCACTAAATTACATTCCTATACGTGTCAATAAAAAAAAACCTAATTAGACGTAGCCAAAACTCTTTCCTCTTTTTCTGGATTGTGACATCACTCAATAAGACTAATCGCCGAATTTGCACTAACCATGAGCCACACGACAGGTTCCACGTGTAGCACAGTATTTACGTACCCTCCTGGTGCACCTGCTGAGATTATCCCGGTTTTTCATATTGCTCAGTCTTTGGTTTTCTATGTATTGTACTGTTGACCTTTCTAGAGTACCTGGTCTCGTCCCAGCTTTTGGTTATTGTTTTTGATGCTCAATCTTTAGTTTTCTGTGTAGTGTTAAATTGGTTGACAGTTGACTTTTCGTTTTTTTTAGTTTGTTTGGAGGTTTTGTCAGTTTTTCCTCGATTTATAGTTTATGTTTAACAACTGTCCCCCTTCTTTTGTCGCAGAAAAAGAATAGAAATTGGCAACAGAATTAAATAAATGAGTATATATATTATAACCTAGGCAATATCACAGTGACATGGTAAAAAAGGCATTTGCATGCAATTTGGATTACGAGTTCTGTTGGCTACCTTTTCGCTTGCATTGAAAAAGAAGTTTGTACAGGTATAAATCATTTATCAGTAACAGGAAAAAATGAAATAGACCAATCTCTTTATCAAGAATACTGTTAATCGTATATACGCTTGCAATTATAGACATTTCTTACCTGAATTGAAGTTTTTCCATGCCGAAATAATAGCATTATTGACATTATTTAGTTGGCCTGCTGGCACCTCTCCTTCAAGATTTATTTCGAAAATTTTCTGTGTTTCATTTAGGACTATAGATTTATTTGAGGCAGATAGCTCATTTATAATTGAATCTAATCTTCCTGCCAAGTTTGGATTAGGCCACTGTTTTTTACTGTCATTAAATGGTTCAGAATACCACACTCTTGTTACTGGAATCCTTAAATATTACAAATATTGGAGTTATATTTTTTCTCGGCTAATTTTACAGTCCATTATAATAAAGAGAAACTCTCTTCATATAAATCGAAAACATTTACCGATTTACCCTTTTCTTTTTTTTTCTTCTTCTTTAAATACAAAGAGAACTTGAAGGAATAGATTAGATAAATATAATTATTCCTTTGTATATGTCTAGATTTAAACCAAACATTAAATCATGGTGTCGATAAATTGAAACTGTTGTTCTATTGGGGTTCCATTTTTAGAATCCTAAGTAGTAACAAAGTATAATTACTTATATGTTTAATTCCCTTTTGGTTCTATAGTTCTTCACATGTTTCTCTTTTTATACTTCCATAATTTCGTTTTGAGCGTTCCTTATGAAGGTAAATGCAGAAATGCGACTCGGACGCATTAAATTCATATATATATTATTTTTTTATTTTTTTATTTTATTATACGTAAATGTATAACTTACCCATTTGATGTTAAGTAATTGTTTTTGACCATATTGAGATCATCAACTATAAATACAAACAGTAATATGGACAAATATTGATTATTATGATAGAAAACAATATATAAATGAGGAAAACATATTTTAAAGAGTTTAAGAAGAAATTACTTTTAGTATATATTGTACATATGACGAACCGAAATACATTTGGTACCGTATCTGTCAATTGACTTTTTTATGTGAAAGTTGTCTTCTCAAAGAAGCGACATTATATTCGTAAAGGGGTTATAGTTTAGCACCCATAGTTAAATAATCTTGAAGAAACTAACCGTTTACAATAAATTAATAATGCGCCTATCTTAAAAAGAAATGTATGCATCCTTCTCTTTTCACTTTACGATCATCGAAATAACTTTAAGTTGTTTAAGTTTTCAAACAGATATTTTTATTAGATTGATTTTCGATTATATGCAGAGAAATATCATACACACACCTGCTCTTGTATGTCGTGCAGCAGCATTATTTAAAATGAGAGTCCGTCTTACAGATTCCATATCTCTTAGCTTTATTCTTCCTTCTAAATCAACGTACTGCCGTCTGCTAGAAGCACAACTGGAAGCGCATTCTTGAAGGTTTTTGTGAACGTCTGCTAGACCATTGTCGTTTATAAGACTCCCATTCAGAATCGGAAAGTAAATGACATCGGATTTTCTGTAATAGTTAATTTGTTAATTGAAAATAGGTTTAAGGCATATGCAAATGGTCTTCTTAAAAGAAAATGTACGTTTGTATTTTCATCCAATTACTAAGTATAAACAGCTTCTTTGTCATACATTTCTTAGTATATATAATTGTTTCGCAATACACATTATAAGTGAATGGATTTTGAACTATTGTAACGGAAGTTTTGATCTGAACTCAAAATAACAAGACTTAACGTGCCTGTCCCAACTCAGGATTCTGTAATTGAGTGGTTGGTTTTTGCTGTTTCTCATATTTGTTTTCGTATATTGTTTTGCATAGTTTGTTCTTGTGTTGTGGTGTTATATCACTGTCCTAGGTAAGGGGAAGTGTTGGCGCATTCAAACATGTTTAACCCCGCCACATTCTATATATGCCTGTCCTAAGTCAGGAACATTTAGTTCAGTGGTTGTCGTATTTGTATTTCGTAATTGTTTGGTTATAAATTAGGCCGTTAGTTTTCTCAATTGAATTATTTCATATATTTCATATCGGGTCCTTTTATAGCCAACTATACGGTATGTGTTTTCTGATTGTTGAAGGCCGTACGGTTGCCTATAATTGCTTGCATCCACTTAATTTGAACTTTGGTGGTTAGTTGTCTCATTGGCAATCATACCAAATCTTTTATTTTCATTATAAAAGAGGAGTGAGGGTTCTTTATTCCTGTCTTCTTTAATTAAATCCATTTATTAATTTATTTTACCAATTACTCTCTCTCTCCCTCTCGAATAATATTATCAATGCAAAATATATTTGTTTTGGCAATTTCTCATCAGCTTCTTTTTGTTTATTTGCTTACCCAGAGTCTAATGTTTCTTCTAATGAAGCCACCTCAACATCTAACTTGCAACCACTGGAACATGTATTACTATCTGAAAAAAATAGGTGTCCTGACTTTGCTTAAAGTAATTAAAAATGTTATAAAGCATTATATCTTACATTTTATAAGCTCATTAGCACTTCGTACGATAAGTAAAATTTATTTTTCTTTGGCTGGTTTTCGTGAAAGTATAACGTCATGTTTAGAGCTCCCATGATATAAACTGTTGCTTTTGATAATATGAGAAAATTCATAATTATAACAAGGAACGAGCTGTCATATTGACAGCAAACTGGATTTTCTGTATTTTGAAAGTTGCTTTCAGGCTTTGTTTACCTGCCACATTCTCTGCCTACTTTCCAATCCACCAAGGACCATCAACACCCGAAACGGTAAAAGTGAAAATCGGCAATATTAAAGTTGACCTTCATTTTGTCATCACTAACAATGTATTATAATTTGAAAACCATTGGTTAAAGCGTTCATAAGTTATTGAACGGACACGACATAAAGTGCCATTTTCCAATATTCCAAAGAACATAACTGCTAAACGGTAGAATGGAAAATCGTCAATATCGAACTTGACCTCCATTTTGTCATTAGTATCAACATATTAAAATATGAAAATCATTGGTCTGAATTGTTCATTTTGGAGTTATAGTACTTGATTATAAAAAAATTGGACCGACATTTCTTTTTCATTGTATGATACTCTCATAACGCCGTCACCGAATGGCTTGCAATTTAATCTCAAAACGATGTCACCGAATGGCTTGCAATTTAATCTCATGACGATGTCACCGAATGGCTTGCAATTTAATCTCATAACGCTGTCACCGAATGGCTTGCAATTTAATCTCATGACGATGTCACCGAATGGCTTGCAATTTAATCTCATAACGATGTCACCGAATGGCTACCAATTTAATCTCATGACGATGTCAGAATCCATCAACATCATATTTTATTTAAGTTATAATTTCTGATTTTTGGTTATGAGATTAATTCTTCTTTTATTTCATGAACGAATGGCAACGGGCCTATCATCGAAAAATTCGAAATTGCTAATCAAAAGATACAAACCTTTCAAAGAAGACATATAATTCGATTTGAGTTGCTGCTTCACGTCATCCAGTTTAATATTTTTCGCGGGTTTATTTATTGTTACCCGAACTCCCTGTGTGTAGTGGTAGAGAGGTTGAATGAACACTGTAGCTAGATGTTGTTGTGGTCCTTTTTTACCACATTTCTGGAACTCGTCGTTAATTACAGATGCAGATGGTGGTGTATGACTCTTAGGGGTGATCAATGACCCCCGAGAGCTTGCGAGGTACTGGATCTTTGTAATTCTAGTCCTGAAAAGGAAAGATTGTATCTTGATAGGCTTTTGTGTTGAAACTGTTAAAAATGTCTTTTAGCTACTGGTAAATATAACAAAGTAATTAAAAAGAGATATCATGTCAAGACCAGTTCGTTTTAACAACCAATGTACAAGTCAGTGATTGTATAACTGTTCGATAATAAGCAAAGACGACACAAAATTGAAATTTCATATCAGAATTGTGTTTTTGTCATAGCTGCATATTTTAAAACTTTATCAAATGTGTGAATTTTTAAAACCAACTATTCTGGACTAGCATTGAAATAAATTTATACATACCCGTATTTGCCAATCATTTGCAAAGAGTTAGCAATTAGAATGTCTACATCTTTTGTATCTGAAAAGAACCAAACGTTGCAATAAAGCATCAGGAAAGCAAAATTGAGTGAGTAATAAAATGCAATCTGTTATGTTCGATTTTTTTTTTATTGTTTATCTTAGAATTTTAAAAGTTCAATAAGAGATTGAACCGTGATAATATATGACAATAGTTGGAAAAGAAAATGTAAATTATCGAAAATATATGCGTGTTTGCTGCTGTTTTACAACAACTTAAATACTGTGACCAGAAGACAAGTACCAAATACAAGACGGTTCGATATAAGTATGCATAATGAGTTATATAAACAAAAGCTAATTTCAATATACAAAGCTTGTTGTTTAAAATGTTAATGCACTGTCGAAATAAACGCAGAGATGAAGCTCAATCTTAAAATCTCGTTCAAAATTTTATCATATGGATGTTCAGTCCCGTTATTGTTACTATGATACTATGTCGTTTTACCTACACGTGCTGTTTTCTTGTGTACTATGATACTATGTCGTTTTACCTACACGTGCCGTTTTCTTGTATACTATGATACTATGTCGTTTGACCTACACGTGCTGTTTTCTTGTGTACTATGATATTATGTCGTTTTACCTACACGTGCTGTTTTTTTGTGTACTATGATACTACGTCGTTTTACCTACACGTGCTGGTTTCTTGTGTTCTTTGATACTATGTTGTTTTACCTACACGTGCTGTTTTCTTGTGTACTATGATACTATGTCGTTTTACCTACACGTGCCGTTTTCTTGTATACTATGATACTATGTCGTTTGACCTACACGTGCTGTTTTCTTGTGTACTATGATATTATGTCGTTTTACCTACACGTGCTGTTTTCTTGTGTACTATGATACTACGTCGTTTTACCTACACGTGCTGGTTTCTTGTGTTCTTTGATACTATGTTGTTTTACCTACACGTGCTGTTTTCTTGTGTACTATGATACTATGTCGTTTTACCTACACGTGCTGTTTTCTTGTGTACTATGATATATGTCGTTTTACCTACACGTGCTGTTTTATTGTGTACTTTGATACTATGTCGTCTTACCTCCACGCGCTGTTTTCCATGATTCCTTCAGCTTATCTTTTATGTTTTGTAGATTATCTTGGTATACATAACCGATAAGATCTATATCATATAATGCTTCATTCAAACTAACCAACGAATCTGTACTAGATGGGGTTAATGGTCCATTAGTTTGTAGCAATGGTTTGCTTTTAAATTCGTTCTTTAGGTTTTTCAAAAATTTGTCGTTAGTTCCGTTGAAACACTCATCGGCATGAAACTGTATTTTTGATGCCTGTTGTCTGAAATTAATTCATGAATTATAGGTATCAGAAAAGTGGAAGATAGATAAATTTCATTATAATATTTGAATAATGTAATGGGATGTGACGCTTATTTAGAGACAACATAGAATTTATAGGTTTAACTGCATTAAATTCGAATTTGGTATTGGGATAGTGACCATGGCCTGTTGTAACGTAAATTTTATTTCTGCTTTCACAAAAAGTCATTAGTCAAATTCTCTGTGGATAGCGTTTCATCCTATGCAAATACAAATATATTTTGTTCATCTTATTTTTGTTCAGAATATGCATGTAATATTCACCAAATAGTCATAAATCAATTAATCAAAGGGGAACATGTCTCAAGAATCAAGATTATGCTTGAATTAGGCAAATGTTTCTTGTGTTTAGTTAAATTACCAGAATTCTATTCAGACAGGTTTGCGAATGACACATTCACACACGATTCGGTGTAGAAAAAGGTCGAATTCGCACAATATTCGCTTTGGACCAATTTAACCAAATTATATATCAAAGTTTTATCTAAATTGAGAATATTACAACTTTTATCATTTCCTTAAAATAGAAGAAAAAACCACAAAAATTGTATACTTACAAATTTATACTGATCATTTGTTCAACGCTTGTAATTGTGATGTTCGGAAAACAATTTCCATCACCTAAAATATATAGAAATGAACACTTTGAACCTATTAGGAGTTTTGTATCTGATTTTTTTTTTCTTCTCTTGAGTGGCAGTATTCAGACAACAAGTATTGCTATTTTAGCTAGCTTCGTGTAGTAGCGAGCACATTTTGATCATGCTTTACAAATGTGTCGTCCTTGTTAAAGTAAGTGGTCTTCTCGTTTGTAACATGACTGTGCAGGTCTTTTATTGTGTGTTTGACTTTTAAGACATTTGGTCTTTATAAGCAAACCAAGGAAGTTTGCACGAAAGCTGGTTTAACTCCACTTTAAGGGCATACGATACAGTTACAGGGGAGGTAATGACGTTGCTAACGTAAAATGTTATTTTCGCGACGTCAAACTGTGACATATTGGGAAAAGATGCATTTTTCGACTGTTTTTTATGATTTGAACTGATTTAACTTGAAAACGAGTACATGGACCACTCTTTTTTTAAAATGGCATTAGGTTTGATTACGTATGAAGATTAATTGAACCAATTTTAATGAAAAAGTCAACGATGAATTTTTGTCATATTTGATAAATATACCGCAAAAAAATGCCGCTTTTTTCCTAAAATCCTGAAACTTTGTTAAAAATTAATTATTTTCAAAGAATTGTTGTACATATTAAGAGCATATTTATGTAAAGAAGATTTTCATCATGTTTTTACAAAAATCCGCTTGTGTTTATCTGTTGAAATAAAAAAGTTAGGTGTGTCTATCCAAAGGATAGAAATGTTCAAAAAACCGAAATTTTGAGTAAATGATAACATTTTAAAGATAAATAAGAAGTTGTAAATTAAGATAAGTGTATAAGGAAGTGGTTTCAGACGGCACAAACGTTTTGAAGTCAAATTATGCTATACAAATCATATTTCTCTAAACTATTTAAACTGGGATAGAGTAGAACAAAGCCAGCAAACAAGCAAACCATAACATTTTGCCATCATTAAAAAAGTTTTAAGTGCCAATCTTCCTAAGAATCAGGCAGTGGTGAAAACATGACAAACAAAAACCCACTCAAATTGACATTAATCTATGTTCAAATTGTATAATGGTGCACTAATATAACATTCGTTTCCTTTTCCTGTTCTGGTAATTCAAGACATAATTTGGTTGAAATGCACTCGAAATTAATAATTAAAGGGAGCTAATTCTGTAATTTGCTATCATTCTAACCAAAAGTTATCTAACAAAGACTGACACTTAAGAAATGACAGGAAAGAACCTAAAATGTATATTATACTACATAATATGTATACATTGAAGTTTCTCGTGCATCACTTTTTGACGGATGCAAAATAATATTATGAAATAAATGCAGTTTTCTTTTTTTTTTATCAACACTCCATGCATTCCTGTATAAAACTTATATACACTCAAGGAAAACAAAAACAATTTAATGAAATAGAATAGAGGCATAAAAGTCGAATAACCTAAATATTTGTTCAAAGATATGTTATCTAATCTAATAAAACCATATGAATGCCATGCAGTTGTGAAAAGTGACTCCTAGTATATAACACATAGTTCAGAGGGTATTGAGTAAATTGTTACTTTTCGAGAAAAATGGTAGACCGTGTAGAATTAATCTGTTATTATTGTTTTTATCAATTGTTGATTTTTGTACATTCCAGTTTTTAATTGTTACTACAAAAGGACTGAGCCATGTGCTAGAGTATAATATTTCCACGTAGTAACCAATCAAAAACGTTCATTTCAAACTAAAATACAACAATCTTAAGTAGAACGCGCCTCTGTAACGTGTCCATTCAAGTTTATGTAAGTAATATTCTAAAGGAATTCGAGTGTCTTAAATTGACAAAACATAATGTAAAACCCATTTTACACCTTCACAAGGAACGTTCAAAGACAAATGACAATCAATGTTTACATGTATTACCTGATTTACTGCCTGCCTTGTTTAAGTGTGATTGCAGTATTGGAATTTCCTCTGGCTTAACTGTTCCGTTCAAAAAAAATGTGTAGTCTGTATTAGGTGTAGCAGTTGTTGCCACTTTGACCATTGATGTTGGTTCTGTTGTTGCTGTAGTCGACTTCATCGTTGATTTCATTGTTGGAGTTGTAGATATTGTTGTAGGTTTAATGGTTGGTGTAGTTTTTGATGTTGTTGGTTTTGTTGTTTGTCTTGGTATTGGTGTTATAGTTTGTCTTGTTGTTGGCAATGTAGTTGACTCTGTTGTGAGTGAAGTAGTTGACTCTGTTGAAGGGGAAGTTGTTGACTCTGTTGTAGGTGAAGTTGTTGACTTAGTAGTGGGTAAAGTTGTTGACTCTGTAGTGGTTGAAGGAGTTGACTCGATAGTAGGTGTAGTAGATGACTCCGTAGTAGTTGAAATAGTTGTCTCCGTAGATGAAGTAGTCGACTCCGTAGTAGGTGAAGTAGTTGACTCCGTAGTAGGTGAAGTAGATGACTCCGTAGATGAAGTAGTCGACTCCGTTGTAGGTGAAGTAGTTGACTCCGTAGTAGGTGAAGTAGTTGACTCCGTAGTAGGTGAAGTAGTCGACTCCGTAGTAGGTGAAGTAGTTGACTCCGTAGTAGGTGAAGTAGTTGACTCCGTAGTAGGTGAAGTAGATGACTCCGTAGTAGGTGAAGTAGATGACTCCGTAGTAGGTGAAGTAGATGTTGAAGCCGTTGTGGTAGTCGGGGTTGTAGTTAGTGTTGTTGTTGACTTTGCAGTTTGTTTTGTAGTCAGTATCGTAGTTGGTGTGGTGGTTACTTGTGTGCTTGACACTGTACTTGGCGTTGCTGTTGATATTGAACTTGTTCTGGTACTAGGTTTTGTACTTTGTGTCGTGATTACTGTTGGTGTTGTTTTGAATACAAAAGGGCAAAAATATGCCTTATCTGCAACACAGTAGCACAATCCTGGACCTGTAACAATTATACATTCTTCAGTCGAGTCACATTTAGTTTCAATACATAATCCAACTTCCTGTTTTATCGTTGAAAATGCCAATGTTGATGGAGTTGGTGTAGAGGTTTGCATAGTTGATATTTTAGTCGTCGATGATGTACTGGTTGTAGATGGTGTCGTTGATGGTGTCATCGTTGGCGTTGTTGATTGTATTGTTGTTGGTGTTGAAGTTCGTATAGTGGTTGGCTTCGTCGTCGGTGTAGTTGTTGTTGGTGTAGTGGTTGTTGTTGATGTAGTTGTTGGTTTAGTGGTTGTTGTTGTTGGTGTTGGTGTAGTGGTTGTTGTTGATGATGTAGTTGTTGGTGTTGGCGTAGTTGTTGTTATTGTTGTTGGTTTAGTGGTTGTTGTTGGTGTAGTGGTTGTTGTTGGTGTAGTGGATGAAATTGTCGTCGGTGAAGTGGTTGATTTTGTTGGTTTTGTAGTGGAAATTGTTGTAGAAGTTGACGATGAATTAGGCGATAACGTTGGTTTAAGTACATATGGACAGAAGTATGCTTTATCAATTAAACAATAACATAGTCCAGGAACAGTGGCATTGATGCATTTCTTATTTTGGTCACATTTTGTTTCAGAACAAAATCCTACTTCTTGATTATTTGTGGACAATTGGGGAGGGGTGGCTTTCCTTCTTGTTGTTTGTTGAACTGTTGTTGAAGCTATGATGGTTGTTACTTTTGTTGTAGGTTTGGTTGTGGTTTGGGATGATGATATAATGGTTGTCTCTTGTGTTGTAGATGATTCTGTCGTTGATGGTTGTCTTGTAGTTGGACAATGGCAGTGGTGGCCTTTGTTCATTTGATGACACGTGCAGCCTAGAGGGCATGGGTTTTCTGAGCATTTCAGTTGTTCAGTTTCACAATATTTACCTGTGTAGCCATCTCGACAACAACAAGAACTGTTAAAGCAATGACCATCATTTTTACATGTCAAACTTGGAGGACATGCTTTGTCAAGGTAGTTTGGAATGTCACGGTTAGTACAGTTCTGACCTGACCATCCAGAACGACATATTTTATGTCCGGTTGTAGGATCACAATAATAATGTCCATTTGCGCAATCATCAAATTCTTTACAGAATTTTCGACAATCGGGGCCATAATAATATTCTCGACATGTACTCACAACATTTGGGTCTACTAAAGGAACGGAGCAATCTTTTCCAGTGTATCCATTATTACATATACAAACGGCACCAAAAATGTCGTGCATACATGTCCCATTCAAACATGGCGGACAGTCACGTGGTTTGGGGGTCGTTGTAGATTGTGTAGAATCTATTTCACATAGTCTTCCATTGTATCCCGTTACACATGTACATGTGAAAGTACCAATACGGTCATTACATATTCCATTATGTTGGCAAGGTTCCGTTAGACATTCTAATATTTCACTCTGACAAAGAACTCCAGTGTAACCATTTGGACAAGAACATTTGTCTCCAATACATGTTCCATTTTTATGACATTCACTACTTTTACAGGATAAAAACGAATCGTTGAAAATAGATCCTAATGAGTATTGTTCCAGTGAGACTAATGTCAACTGCAAAGGGGAGATAAGATATTATATTATTTGTATACTAACATTCAATCAGTTTACACGAAAACAAAATATGACAACTATAATATGAAACTACATGTACAATGGAATATATTTTCCGTTCCATAAAACCTAGTTGCAGTGGAGTTCTATCCTCAAATCAAAAACATTGCATAGCCACACCTCTTCTTGGAGCTTACATCGATAGTTAAAAATGTAATTTAATGTGACCTTACTCTCAAAGGTATGATGCGACAAACCTTTTTGTTTTTATAACCCCTTATCTCCAACAGCTTTTAGAGCGAATTTTCGAGATCAAGAAAGATCGAGTAGATAAAATAATGTTGTAATTTTTTTGAAATGTGTGGTTCTAAAAAAAAATTCCTTTATCCCTTTACTCCTTCCCCCCTCCCCCTAAATTTTCCCTTCGAAACTTGTGTTCTTATATAACTCAGTAATTTATAGCTCTGTGAGCTAGATACCAAACATAAAAGAGTGTTATAAATCACAAAAGTCATGATTATTTATGACTTGGAAGCATTCCAGGCATTCATTCGGTAATTTTCAAAGAATGTTAGCAGTCACTGTAACCAAGCTCAAAGAACCTAATTTACAAAAAAACAAATCACATTTTCTTTCACTCTAATATCGGTGACTGTCATTCCTAGAGGATTTTTTTCCAAACAGACTAGTCCTGAACAGTCCAGGAAAACGCGACATTGTACAATTCTCCAAGTAAATTAATGTGTAGAATTCTAAATGTAGTAATGAAAATAACTGAAAAATTTGTGTTTCACAAAGTACTTAAGACAATTTAATATGTTTGACTGTTTCAGCGCCGTAAAATTATCAACGGGCAGTAAGACTGAGTGTTTAACTGAAATCTGTGAAGCCATTAACACATTGAATATTTTATGAATGAAAATATATTCTCCGTTCTTATGTTGCATTAATACAATGTCCGTAATATCACCTAAAGTGGTATTGTTTATCGCAAGTTTTACCATTTTAATGGTCAAGTTTGGCATGACTTTATCTTAATTATAAACTGGCCTATGTCTAAAGATTTACACCACTGAATATTCTTTTCATTTAAGTCATTATTTCCTTCATACTTCCTTTGTTCACGGAAAGAAAATATTGTTGTAAATTGAAAGTGCAAAAAACTATGAAATTTTAAACGAAAGAGTATTTTTCTTAAAAACCAAAAAGAAATAAAATCATAAACTTATCATTTATAAAAGTAAGACAAAAATGATTTCATAGGACTGAGACATAATATATGACAAGCTTTAGAAACAGATTTTTTTTCTACTATAACTTAAAATTCAATAATTTGACCATTTTATCTATTTACTATTTCTAATTTGATTCATTAAAGAATAGATTTATTCCTACATTATCAAGTCATACCTGTATGAAAAGGATGTAGAGTGAAAATATCCTCGACATCTCGGTCTTAATTTACTAAACTCAAATGTTTGACTGTCGTGATTTCAACTATAATCTGTGGCACATTTTAAATATTAAATATTATTCCACTCCTTATTATTCATACTTTATAATTTTGATATGGATTATGGTATCTATTTCACCTGTAGAAAACGCCCAGGGAAGGAGTTATGAAGTTATCTGAGTTACGTTCGGGCTCACGTCAACAAGGCTTTACATTGTACAAAGTTTGTCGCAAACAATGGACAAACGTTGCTGAGAATTGAAAACATCTCATTGCAATTCCGTGTATATTTATTTAGTCATTGATTAATATATGAGGTATGCTTACTTTCATTTGTAATTTAAAGGTTATTTTGTTATCTATTAGGTAGGGATATTTCTAAATAAGCTAGGGTTGGGGTAGTGTATTTTTAATCCCGTTTATAAGTAGATTGCAAAGTGATGTAATTCAGTAGAAAGCTGGTAGCTACTCAGCTGTCTAACATTGGCTGTAAGTTAATTCGATAAACGGATATCTGCATGTTAATTTTGTTTTCTATTCAAAGGAAAGACATTTAGAAGTATTATAACAGAAACTAATAGTTTTCAATTGAATTGTTTTAATTTAAACTTGAAGTTGTTCTGACTTGTTCACTTGTTCGGACTTGTTCGCTTGTTCTGACTTGTTCGGTTGTTCTGATTTGTTAGATTGTTGATGTATAATTGTTATTCTATTTTACAGTATTTAAAAATCCAATAAAAGAAACAAAATATGACGATTATGCTAAAAATATAAATTTTAGACATTCACTATTTTTGTTTATGTGATAGAAAAGTGTAAAACAGGATAGGAAGTGCAACAATGAAATTATGTAATAAAAATATTAGAAAATTCCAATGGAATCCATTAAAGGAAAAATGTCTTGAAGGGCGGCTGCTTTTTCATTTGTGTATACCAAAAACATCTTTTATTCATATTTAAAATGCTGAAGTTGGAAAAATTCTATTACACACTAATGACCATAATACTAGAAATGATAAATACGTCTTGTGTCATGGAAACCTTGAACATGTTGCGGGATTTTGGAGAAAAAATTGAACATACAAACATGTTTAACCCCACCACATTATTTATGTGCCTTTCCCAAGTCAGGAACCTGTAGTTCAGTGATTGTCGTTCGTCATGTCGGTCATATTTCTTTTTTCGTCAATTGCTTTGTGATAAATTAAGTCATTTATTTTCTAGCTGGAATTGCTTCTCATTTTTTTTCATATTTGGGCCATTTATATCCGACTATACGGTATGGGTTTTTCTCGTTGTTGAAGTACGCACTGTGACCTATAATTGCTTATATCCACTTCATTTTAACTCTGATGGATAGTTTTCTCATTGACAATCATACCACATCTCTTTATTTTATATACTAACGATTCATTTACTCAATGGTGTAAAAGAGAAAAAGACACATCTGTAATAAGCACAAAAATGGATTTTGCTAGTTCATTGACTGATTATTTTATTGTCGTTTTGCTGAACTTCCAGTTGCAAATAGTTCAGGCATATTCAGGACGAGATCATATTACTAATCATTATAGAATGAAGACACGAGTCATGGGAATTAACGACACATTCCTATTGGAATGTATGCATGCCTATTAAACGACTCTAGCGGGGGAGTCGTAACCGTCATTCAAAGAAAACTTGGAACAAGTTATGTTCCCTAGGAACCATCGGACGCTCACATGTTTATACCAGAAACACTGATCAGTCTTGCTGCTGGTGGATTATCAATCACGTACCGAAGTTTCCATCCAGCTTTGTCAATGGCAGGATTTATAATATACATTTTAATTGCAAACTATAAGGTTATATATTATATGATTTTGCTTAAATTAACGTTGCAACTCTTTGAGATGAAGTCATGTCCATTCTGTTTTTGATGGTTCAAAACATGTCATATATCTGGCTTTACTCTTTTTACACGTGGTGTTTGCACTATTGACGGTATCTTGTATTTACTTCAACTGGAAGGGTACCGTTAGTTCAGGACTGTCAGTCTGTGCGGTAAACATCCGCCAAGTAACCAATGAGTGTTTCGGTACAGCCGTGAGTAAATTGTAAATTGTCCATTAATTATAGGTCAATAATTAAACAAAAGTTTTTTTCCAAAATTTCATAGTTGACGCCCAATTTCTATTTATGTATTTAAATGGAATGTTAAATTGCACTGTTTACATCATAAACAGTACATATTTTTGCCAAACTACCTTTTAATCGTGTTTGAACAGTTTGTATTCATACCTTCTAAAGATTTATACATGTATTTTATGCAAAGATTTTGTAATCTGTATTTTTTACCACCATTTCAAACGTTTTTAATTGTTGACTATTTAAATAATTTGAATTGCATTGCATTGTTTTGTCACCTGCTCGGAATTCTAAAAAAAAAACAGTGACAGCCTAATTGATGATTTTATTCACCATTGAAATTCTTTTTGAGCTATGCCAATTGACTTGCATTCCCAAAATAAAGGCTTGTTATGGATACCTCGAAAAAGGTATATAATTGTACTCCGTCAAAACTGGAAGAAAATACCAAAGTTTTATTTCTATATCAATAGCGTAAGTCGAAAAAAGATAACTAGAACACACCATTGCCAAAAGATAACTAGAACACACCATTGCCAAAAGAAAAAAGAAAAACAACAGTCAACAAAATACTTCACGGTATTGTGAGATTGAACAACAAAAATTTCAACCGAAAAATCGAGTTGACCTTATGTGCTTTGAAAGCGTACGTAAATCTTGCTCCACTAGTGGCATACATGTATAAACAGAATTTAGCAACAGGTTTGAACTCACACTCTGGCCCTCAGAATTAATATAGGTCGAATACCTAAATGTTAATCTTTTTAAGTCATTATTCTACATAGCTTTGTTTTGAATATATACCCATCAAGAAAGATATAAGCGACATTTATTCCTTGAATCAAAAGTAAATCCTACTTCTGTCAATTCACTCCTACAAATTTGTCAAATGTTTATACAGTGGACTTAATTAATTGTAAATTTCGAGATTAATATTAAGTCCATTTTATCAAAGATATAAGATAAGATAGTTGGACGGTATTTACTTATAGTATTTGATTAAGCGACAATCGTGATAGTCTTTATTTTTGTTTGACGGATAATTTAAATGAATATTGGAAAAAAAGAAATGTAAAGTTTTCTAGCATTCATCCTTTTCAAGAAATTATACAATATAAAATTAAGGAAAGCTAAAGGTAGTATATATACTTTGTTTCTACATATAAGCGTTTTAAACCATCACATGATTATTGGGAAAACAAACGTTTATAACGGGGGAAAAGGGGGGGGGGGGGGGGGGGGGGGTAATAAGAAAATGAAAGGTGAACATACAAGCTCTATGAGTTATTAAGATTTACTACATGTAAAAAAATAGTGAAATTCGTTCTTATATCGTCATCTACTCAGAAACCTAAATGGTCGATGTTTTTTCTTCAAATGATATGCTTTGAGGAATGTAGTTTTGTTTCAATAACTTAAAATGTTTATGTAGACATTGAATTCTTATTTTGATATACATGTGTACAAACCATTTCTATATTTCTCACAAAACTCCATTGAACTAACCATTCTCTAAAAAGTAATTTGGTTATCCAAGAATAATTTTTCAGTCGTTAAAAGTTAATTAGGAAGCGACATATCAATTTCGTTTTGATGAAATGAGAATTAGAAGAAAATCCTGAGAACGTTTTAAGACGATTTTATATACAATCTTTATAAATTCTCATCTACCTTAAAGAGTTTGCATTCTGTCATAAGTCAAAGAATAGAGGAGAAACATGAGTTTTCTGTCAATTTTCCTTTAGTGTTAAACTTAGGGAAAATCGCAAACTCTCGAATCTAAAATAGGTCTTGAAAGCTTAAAGGTTACTAGCTTCTAAAATGTATTATGAAATACTGGTTGAGACACAAGAATTTAAGCTTGAAATATGCTCAAGCAGCATACTTACTTCGTGCATTATTTATGGCATTGCAGTATACAATCTACCGTGAATAACTGTCGTCAATATTAGAGTTCAGAACGGAATGCTTCCAACAACAGACCGGGTGCTTTGAACACTTTCAGTAAGTGATACCATTCTTTGTTACGGTATTTTTAGTATTGCTTTACCTGTACTTGTATTTGTTCTCTATTATGTCGTTTTTTAAGAGGTAAGTGCTTTTTCTGGGCTTATTTTTACTGTTAGTTCTTCTATGAACCTTTATCAACCAATTGCTCGAGGTTCAAAACGTAGAAATATTTGTGCATGTTCAAAATAGTTTTAATTCTACAACATGTTCATACTGCCGTTCCAAGTAAAACTTTTGTCCTTCGGTATGGAATTTTGTGTGAATGACAGTTTTTTTTTATAGTCCCTGTTCAATATACCTGCAACATCTTTTTCAATACCTCTTCCGATCAAGTTCTAGAGGACAAAGGACAATATTTAACTATGCTCTTTAGATATCTTTTTAACTTTTTGTTTGTTGTTGTTTTGAATTTTTACTTTTGTTTGGTTGCACGTTTCATTCATATATTCTTAACATTTGAATCAGTTTCTTTTTTTAATGTAGTACCGCCCTAGTGATATTTAATGTTTAGTGATGGAAGTATGGGTGGCATAGATACGAAACATTACTTATGTCACCTTACTCCTACCAATTTGTCAAGTGTTTATATAGTGGACGGGATAATTTGTAAATGTCGGAATCAATTTTAAGTCCATTAGATATCATACCCAAACATACCATATGTGTCATTTTCTCTTCAGTATTAAACATTCCACGGAAGCTATTTACACAGATTAGTCATAAAACGGACGTTTTAATTTCTATTTCGTTTCTAATTTAGAAACAGTCTCCGGGACAAGTTTGCACTTCCGCTGAGTGCAAAAGTTGTCACCTTAATTTTTGGAGTTAAGTCAAAATGAAGTTGATAACTTGGTTGGTATTGGTTCCCTGATATTTGTCCTAAAAAATTTTGGCTCTAGCACCACTGTTGAAAAAGTTATGCCCCTTTTTTCAACAATTTCCTCAGAGGAAAAGTAGTTTTCCTCAAGGGAAATCAAATTTCCCTGAAGGAAAAAGATTTTTCCTTAAGGGAAATTGTATTTTCCTCAAGGGAAAAAGATTTCCCTTAGGGAATTTGCTGCATTAATATTTCCTTTGAGGAAATTCTATTTCCTGTGAGGAAATTCTATTTCCTCTGAGGAAATTTGAGGCTTCAAATTTTCCTCTGAGGAAATACTTTTTCCTGTGAGGAAATTTGCAGCTTCAAATTTTCCTTTGAGGAAATACTTTTTCCTGTGAGGAAATTTTGTCAACAGCAATTTCCTGTGAGGAAATTTTTGACAAACACTTTTCCTTGAGGGAAAATTCAAGACCACAAATTTCCTCTAAGGAAAACATTGTTCTCCAAATTTCCTCTATGGAAATTTCTCTCATTCAATTTTCCTCTATGAAAATTTCATAACAGTAAAAACAGTATGAATATAATTTTTCCTGAGTCTGAATAATTGATACAAAAGATAATTAAAACTTTAATAAAATGTTCACTGATGAGTAACATGACATACAAAAACAATAGGCTAGCTGTTTGAGACAATACAATAATAAGCAAAACGCTATGAATATCATACTATTTGTGATGTTATTAATATTGTGCTCATATTTGCGGATTAAATAAAATAACCACTTTTCATGTTAATTTAACTTTTCTGCTGCGTACAATTATTCAATCCCCTACAAAACAGTTCAGTGCATAAATAATTCCATCCACCAGACATCTTCCTTCAATTGGTAGAGAATACATTTTTGCAATTTGTTCTTCAAACATCTTCCTCTATATAGTTGATATGACAGAGCTATGTACATGAATGGATAAAGCAGGTGTTTATTTCGACAAAAAATACTTTTTTTTCTACATTTCTCCCTAATCCTTCAGTGTAGGTTGTTGCAATTACACAATTGTGTTCTTGTGCATCTATGATTGTACTCCATTTTGTTTACAGCCATTTTGTAGAAATTTCCTATTTTCTTTTTCCAGGTAAGCACACATTTCATTTCACATTAATCCAATTAGCACACAATGTAGAAAAGTATTAACCTTAAGTTTCCTCTTCTGTATTGATCTGTTGATGATCATGAAAACCAAGAAGTCTCTGCACCTATAAATACACAAAATAGAAATTGAGAAAAAAACAGCAATATGAAATAAGCTTATTTTATCATGTTTAATATGAACATTTGAGAAACTTAAATTTGATATTCCTACTAATCATGATTATGAGTTCTGTTATTTCAGTGCTTTGTGTCCACGACTTAATATCAGTTGTTTTAGTGCCTTGCAGTGATAATGAGTTGAGCCACTTTCTACAGTTTTTACAGTTTGTTCATATGTTGTGCTATTTGAACCACTGTCCTAGATTATGGTTAGGTGGAGTGCTCACAGACATGATTGTTTTCTCATTATCGAAGGCCGTCATTGGTCTTTAATTGCTTGCATCCACTTCATTGAACTCTGGTGGATAGATAACTCATTTACCATACCACATCTTCTTATTTTTATAATAATCATCATTCAAGGGCAATCACTTTTATTATATAGAAGTGGTCTTACCATTTAGGCCTTGTTGTCTTCTGTTTATCTTGTTTTGCCGATCATTTCTACTGTACAGTTGTAATTGTTTATATTTTTCTTTATCTTCTATATTTCTTGCCCTAAACTTAAAAAAGGTAAAAACTATAATTTAATGACAGTCACTATAACTATTATGATACAGTATGTGTTTTTCTATATACAATGATATAAAAAAGAATGAAATATTTGTGCTATTTCATTTCACAGACTATTTGCCAGTCAACAGTTTCAAAGACATAACCACGGTCAATAGTTTAACAATCAAACATTCCCGTAGTTTTTTCATCGTGTTCATACTAATTTTTCAATGGACAACAATGACGTGATTAACTATTTTTCTATGATTTGTGTGCTTGACAACATTAAACTCTGAAATATTGTTAACAGTATAATCTGTATGTGTCTGTCGTCAAAATTTCAAATTAATATATTACTTACAGAAGCAATTAAAACAAGAGGCTCACAAAATGAATGTGGTCTAAGAACTTAAATATTTCTAATTTACCTATTCAAACCGTATCATTATTATTTGCTTTTATATATAAATCAGAAATAACCAATTTAAAATGGAAAATTTTAAAGAAAACAAAAGGAAAAAAAGTAAAAAAAATCCCCCCAAATTTTTTGAACCCCCTTATGATTCATCACCCCCAAACTCAATCCCAGCCTTCCCTATGTGGTACGGTACCTTGCAGTACAATTTCAGAGAGATCCATACACTTGAACACAAAGTTATTGTCTGGAAACAAGAAAAATGCTTGTTTTTTGGCCCCTTTTTGGCCCCAAATTCCTAAACGTTTAGGGCAATTACCCCCAAACTCAATCCCAGCTTTCCTCCTGTGATATGGAACCTTGTAGTACAATTTCATAAAGATCCATACACTTACACACAAGTTATTGTCCTAAAACTAGCAAAATGCCTGTTTTTTGCCCCTAATTCCTAAAATTTTGAGGCAATTACCCCCAAAATTGATCCCAGCCTTCCCTTTGTGGTATGGTACCTTGCAGTACAATTTCAGAGAGATCCATACACTTGAACACAAGTTATTGTCTGGAAACTAGAAAAATGCTTATTTTTGGCCCCTTATTCCTAAACATTTTGGGCAATTACCCCCAAAATCAATTCCAGCTTTCCCTTTGTGATATGGAACCTTGTAGTACAATTTCAGAAAGATCCATACACTTACACACAAGTTATTGTCATGAAACTAGAAAAATGCTTGTTTTTTACCCCTTTTTTTTGGCCCCTAATTCCTAAAATTTTGAGGCAATTACCCCCAAAATCAATCCCAGCATTCCCTTTGTGATATGGAATCTTGTGGTACAATGTCAGAGAGATCCATACACTAACACACAAGTTTTGTCCGGAAGTTACAAAAATGCTTATTTTTGGCCCCTAATTCCTTAACTGTTGGTACCATAACCCCCAAAATCAATCCCAACCTTCCTTTTGTGGTATTGAACCTTAAGGTAAAATTTCATCGAGATCCATTAACTTCAACTAAAGTTTGAGTGTTAAAACCAATGTGTCTTTGGATGACGATGACGCCGCCAACGTCAACGTCATACCAATATTTTGACCACAAAATAAAAACTGCAGTTTCCTTAAAATTACCAATCTAGTGGCAGCAACCCAACAATGGATTGTTAGATTCATCTGAAAATTAAATGGCTGATAGAACTTGACATAATGAACAATTTTACCTCACATAAGATTTGCTCTAAATGCTTTAGTGTTTGAGATATAATCCAAAAACTGCATTTTACCCCTATGTTCTATTTTTAGACATGGCAGCCATGCTTATTGATGAAACAGAAAATAAAACACAAGCTTTATTCTAAATACCCTAAGGATCATTCAGCCTCAGTTTGGTTGGAATTGGTTCAGTAGTTTCAGAGGAGAAGATTTTTTAAAGTTAGAAAACATGATAAACAAATCGTGTAAAATTGTCGTTAAAGTGCAATAACTCCTTAAGAGGTCCATTGACAATTTTTGTTATAGAAACTTATCTGTAGATCTTACTTTGCTGAACATTTTTGCTGTTTACAGTTTATCTTTATCATTAATAATATTAAAGATAATAACCAAAAACTGCAAATATTTCTTGAAATTACCAATTAAGTGACAGCAACCCAACAATCATGACAATGGGTTATTACATTCATCAGAAAATTTCAGGGCTGATAGAACTTTGAATACCTAATGAATAATTAACTCTGTGTCAGATTTGCTCTAAATGCTTTGGGTTTTGAGATAAAAGCCAAAAACTGCATTTACCCCTATGTTCATATTTAGCCATGACAACCATGTAACAAAACACAAACTTTATTGTAAATACCCTAAAGATCATTCAGCTTAAGTTTGGTAGGAATTGGTTCAGTAGAGGAGAAGATGTATGAAATAGTTTACACCCGACGGACGCCAATGGTTGACGAAAAACAACGACAGACGACGACGGACGCCAAGTGATGGCAAAATCGCACTGTTCCTTCGGAACGATGAGCAAAAAGGCAAATTTAAAAAATTGCGCTGGCTCTATCCAAAAGAGATTTTAACAGTGTAGTGTACTACTTTTGGGACAGGACATATTAACATAATAGAAAAATCTATAAGCTATAACTCAAAATATGGACAATTTTATGTTAAAAGGGTCTTTAATTTAGTTTGACAACTTCACAGACATACTAATATTTGACCTTTTCAAACTATACCAAATCACTACTTAGGCCCCAAAAAATATATGTCTGTTTAAGGTTACATACTTTAAAAAAAAGGCTAGGTAGGTCGGTATTTCCATTTTATTTTATTTTTTCATTTTATTTTTTGCGACATGATTTTGAGTCATGCCGTTTCGTCTTGTCGTGGTCTGAGTTGATCCTTGGCCAATTTTACCCGTTATTTTAATGATTGGATTATTTCCCTTGGTTATTGGTTGGGGAAAAAATGGCGGCAAAGTGTTTATTTCATCACATGAGTCACGAATTTCCTTATAACAGCTGTCATATTCACGATTGTGAACATTGGGATGTATCAGGCAATTGATTTATATTATTGGCAACACAAACTTCATTTTTGACACGAGTTCAGTTAATTTTTGCTTTTACGACGGAAATAAAATGACTTAGGGTCGGCGCTCAAAAG